AGACGGGATCCCTCGGGAAAGAAAGAGAAAGGTGGAAAAATCCCTGCTGGCTCCGGAGGGGGATTCCCTATGGAGCAGCGCAGCTCCCCCCGCCTCCACAAATGGCTAACTGGGAATGCTGGAGCTGACGCTCATTTAAATCCCAAATGAGCTTCATCCTCAAGGATCATTTAATTAAGACGGAGACGAGATTCCGGCTGCGTTGCTCCAGATGGGTTGGATCGGAATTCCCAACGCTGCTCCTGTTGGAACCAAATCCGGTGGGTTTATGAGGGAAACTAAGGCAGGGAGAGGAGCATCAGAGACAAAACCAGGGGGAATTGGGAGGTTGTTCCCCTCCTCCTGCAGCAGGTGGGGGAAAAAAGCGGAAAATGAGCCCAAAACTGGGAATAAAGCAGCTTTTTAGCCACGTTGGGAAAAATCAGTGTGGAATTTGGGAAGAAAAGCACCAAAATAGGAAAAAACCTCATTGGAATTGTGAGAGTTGATCCTAGTGGCTCTGCACTGGGATGTGGGGAGAAAACAGGGATTTTCTGGCAAATCCCAGAGTTCTGCAGTGAAACCATATGGGGATCCCCTTCCCTAGATCCCATTTTCCCTCTTTTTCCCCCTTAAATCCACCCTGATGGGATTGGAAGATTGAGACGGCGCTTCCAGAGGGAGCCTGGAATGAGGCCTGGAATGAGGGTGATCACGTGGAAAATGAAGGGAGACGCCTGATGAGGCTGTTTTCCAGCTTCCCGACGCCTGGAATCACCCCGCGGCAGAGACAAGTTACAGAACATCCTCTTTCATCCCATTGGATTTACCTTTATTCCAGTCAAAAAAGCCTTTTCCCACCCTGGGATTGGAGCTTAAGGAATGTCAGGATAACACTCAGGGGATTTGAATTCACTTTCAGCTTCCTCATCAGGAATTGGAGAGGAAAAGGAAGGAAAACTGCTTCAAGCCCAACCCCGCGCCGGGGTTTTCCCGGTGGATTGTTTTCCAACTAATTAAACTCCATATCCCATAATGAGGAAGTTTGACACAAACATCACCCAAAGGGTGAATCCAGGACGGCCGAGAAGGATTCCGTGCCAGGATTCCCCTCTTCCATGGGTAAATCCAGCAGGAAGATCCCTCTTTGTTAACCTGAGGAGTGGAACAACGTAACCAGCCCCTGTGCTGAGGGTCAGGAGATCCTTGAGGATGAAGATGCGGAGCAGAGAGGGCTCTGCACAACGGGAGCGGTTGGGATGTTGCTGAGCACGGTTCCGGGTGTAGCTGTTGGGTTGGAGGAGGTTGGATTTAGGTAGCTCCATCGTGGTCGTTTAGATCTTCACAACCTGAGCGGCTACACACGGGCTCCGGCGCTCGGCCCCGGTGTCGTCCCGCTGGAGGTACAGGCGGCCATAGGTACCCCCGACCGTCCCTTTCGTCAGACGCCCGGGGTTGATGCAGACACAGCCCAGCACATCCTATGGGAATACCGAAGTTGGGGGGGGGCTGTGACTACAGCTGATCCAGCACCAACAGCCCCCTGGCTACAGCTGACTGGGTGCTGATGGCCACAACCGTCTGGCTACAGTCGGTCTGGATGCCAACAGCCACCCGGCTACAGTCGGTCTGGATGCCAAAGGCTGTGACCGACCAGCTACAGCCCAACCAGATGCCAGCAGCAACCCAGTTACAGCTGATGGGGTGCTGAGCAACAGGACCCACCAGCTACAGCCCAGCCAGGTGCTGAGGGCTGTGACCTGTTGGTTACAGTTGGTCTGGATGCCAGCAACCACCCAGCTACAGCCAAGAGCTGGGACCCAGCAGCTACAGCCAGTGCTGGGCCTGAGCCTGTGCTTTATTCCGGCTGTAACCTGGGCTTTGCCCAAACCTGGTGGGTTTGGGGGTACGTAAGCGGGTGTGTGGGCACCTCCTGACCTTAATGAAGTACCGCAGCTCAGAGGGGGTGACAAGGACATCCGGGGTGACTGGTAACGAGGTGTAGCTGTAGAAGCTCTCGTAGTCAATGTTCAGCTCCTCCGAGGGGGGGGACAACGGGTAGTAACTAA